ATATGAATCTCTAATTATAGATTATTAAATTTATTTAATTATCAAATGTATTGAATAACACAAAAAAAGTTTTCCATTAAACCTAATGATCATTGACTATGTGGTCAATACATGTGATTAGTATTCCGATCATTAGTCTGTTACTAGTATCAGGTTTTTTGGTTTCACTTAATGGTTAACACAATCCAAGGCCACAGTATTCTTGAAAATTATATTCACCGCACATATAAAGGTTAAGAAAGTGAAGGTTTTGATCATTTGATTCACGATAACTGTTTCATTAGCTCCTGGCTTACAAAGTGAACAAAGATTTAGATTTTTACCCAAAAGTTTTGACAAAATTTTCTGCTATTTATATAACAATGAGATTCCTATGTATTGTGGCGTTTGTGTTGTGTATAGCGGGTGTGTTGTCGCAAAAGCCTAAAAATAGGTCGTCCGACAAAAATTGTGAGAAATCTGATTTTGATCGCCACTCGAGTAATGTGTTCGGACAGTTCGGATTACCGGAGCTCAGTTTCCCCGAGACTCGCAAGGAGTTGAACACCTACTGCAAGTATGACCGTGATAATATATTTTTAACTTTTAATTTAATATAGTCATTTTAATTGTTAATTATATTATATTTTAATAGTAAGCTATATAGAGAAAAATATTATTTAATGTGGTTGATTGAAAAAACTAACCAATTTATTAAGGTATTAAAGTGTAATATTATACTACAGTAGTACTGTATATTTAGTTTAATTATATTAGTTTAATCTATTTTTATAAAAAATATTTTGTAAGATTAATTACCAGTATAATTTGAATATATCAATAGAAAGGCCAAAGAGAGCACAGAGTTTTCGAAACAGTACGGAACCAATTGTCTGAAGAGCACATCCCAGACCCTGATGTCTTTGGCCACATATAACTTCGACAAAGTGAACAAACAGTACTGCGCCAAGAATGGCAAACTCAAGGATGCCTGGGTCAATTGGTCTAAATGTGGCAACAAGGCTAAGCCTGTGACGGAAAAGTGCTGGGACACTATGTTGGTGAGAATGGCTAACACCAAGAAAATCAAGAATAGTAAAAGTAGGATTCCTACTATTTGTTGGTAAGTTATCAAATAAATTATACTAACTAGTAACATGCCTTAACAAAAAACTTAGTAATAATGTTAGCGTAAACATATTTACTACTTATTTTTTAATCAAGCAAGTCCCATTTACCATTTTCATAAATCCCATACATATAGCACTTATTACCAATGGATCAAATGTACGCGAAAGGCATTGGAGGACATGGGTAACGGTGTTTGCAACCGGGAAGCCGTCGAGGGATTCACAGTTCACATCAATAAGGCATCGGTCGACTCAATGAATCTGATATGTAGTCGCTATGAGGACAACCCGCAAAAATGTGAGGCCTATTTCAAGGAAATCCCCACTGGACGAC